GGTATACCTTAAAAATCTCCTTATCAATCTGGTTGATTTGAAGTGAATTTTAAACAACCTCAAAACAAGCTGAAGTATATATAAATCAACCTCGTACACCTTAATTACAACCTTTACGAGGTATAATTTTTATTGCTGTTTTCTCTGCAACCTCAAATATACCTCAAATCAACCTTAATACCTCAAAAATACCTCAAATCAACCTTAAATTTTCATAAGGGCTGCGGCATCTTCCCAGGTGAAGGACGTAAAGGTTCAATACCAGCCATTAAAAAAAAAAAGCATTTTTACTCGTTACCTCAAGCGGTACCGCATGTAGGTACTTAATTTACGGCGGACTAGAGCTGCACAATAACTATTGGCAACGGTCTGGGAAACATCTCTGAGGATCATCCCCAGACATGCCATTTCAATTACAATTTTGATCCCCAGCAGAGGGGAGGGCTCTTCTATTTTGCGAGTCAACCAGCTGCCCCCGGAATCGAGCACTTTACGGTATGAGACAAGGAGTGATTCTGTGCATTCTCAGTCAGTCCCTACGTAAGCTGATCATAGCCGACACCCACTCGCCTACTGACCTCTGCCAGTGATTTGCAATCAGTCCATTGCGGGTCAAAAAAGAAAAGAAACGGGCATCACAAATAACTTTTGATCTCATTATTGGATTATCACGTACTAATATGATTCGATACAAACGCAAAAACATACTTTCTCTGATTAACCATCCCATTTTTTTGACAGATTTGAGTTGAATTAGCTTAGTTAGGGAACATTCACAATGGCATACAATTGCCCTAGACGCGCCGAATGCGGGGGTGCCATCCCCTCTGCGGAGGATCAAAATTGTGATGGCATGTCTTTGGATCTTCGTCTGAGATGTTTCCCAGACCGTAGCCAATAGCACATTGTGCAGCTCTAATGCCACGTAAATGAACCAAAGAGAACTGAAAAGCTACTGCTTGCCCTAGACCAGTGTTTCCCAAACTTATGACTTTTGTGTACCCTTTCTAAACTTTTCGTAACGCTGTGTACCATTAATAAAAAAATGAATGCAATTTTTAATATAAAAAATTGCACAAAAGTTAAAAATCACAACTGGCTGTTGACACCACTAATTATTAACTGTTAACTCTACAAAAAATAGCCAATAGAAAAATACGTAATCGTAAAGTTTCAAGGCTAGCTTTGTTTTTATATAAAATTTTTTTGAAATTTTCGTTTGTTGCAAGATATTTTGCATAAGAGCGCGTACCCCCGCTAAACTGTTCCCGTACTCCTGGGGGTACGCGTACCACACTTTGGGAAACGCGTACCCCTAGGAGTACGGGAATAGTTTAGCGGGGGTCGTTTGTTGCAAGATATTTTGCATAAGAGCGCGTACCCCCGCTAAACTGTTCCCGTACTCCTGGTGGTACGCGTACTCCTGGGGGTTGATTCTGAATAAAGGATTGGCGCAAGACTATTAAAAATAGTGCAATTCCTCCCCCCCCCTCTCTCTCTCACGCACGCACGCCCAAATTATTTGCATATATGAAACCTCTCCTTTAGACCATACAGATTGCCATATAGTTCAGGAAAATTGGCTAATTTGAATGAAAGTTATATTGGGAGATATCTTTTTTACTTTACGCACTGTATATTAAACGGGTGGTGAATAATTATTTAAGTGACAACGAAGCAAGAACTCTGCCGAGATCTCTAAATCAACAGTCGAGAAGATGGATAGAAAACATCAAAACTAGTTAACTTGTCGGAAGAAATTTGGAAAAATTTTAATAGTCTCAGTTTTGTCAGGCAATCAAACAGGTTTTGATGCTTTTAGTCCAGCCTTTCTTTGCATTGACTTGTAAGATTTCAAAATCATTTTTGTTTTTTCTGAATTCAATCTTAATTTGTAACCTTTAATGTGTATTGACATATTTGACAAGTTATATGACAAAACAGGGGCCATAATTTCTAAGTATCCTTTATAAAAGATTTTAAATCAAGTTTTGATGGAAGGTAGTTCAGTAAAAGCACAGTTTTGCACCTAAAAACTATCCTATGATGGGATAACAAAATGACAGTAAATATACAGTAACTAATAGTTCTTTTTCAAATAAAAAAGCTGTTAAAAATTTAGAAATCACATAATCATTTATTTTCTATATTTTTATAATTCAAACCCTGATTCAATAGCTTTTCTGAACTTTAAGCAGGTAGTATCAGAATTGCACATATACAGAGGCCGGCTAAACGATTCTTTTGGTAACTATTTAATTCGACATTTCTTGCACTTCAAAATAACGCATGTTTTATTTAAATCATTTAATTGCTTTTACAGTAAATTTCTTAAATTATTTATTTAAATTGGATATATTTTTATTTTCAAAAGTTAGTCAATTGTATTTTTACTTTTTTAACATAAATGTAAAAGCGATATTTTTGACAAATTTACATACTATATAATCTAATTTTTTTTTTCAATTGATTATTTTTAAGCAGAATCTTTGAACACAAAATTTCTCATTTCTACTTTATGGGTTCTGCACCTGACAGATTTTTACTAAACGATAGTATAAATTTGAAAATAAAGTAAAATAATAGAGAAAATGTTAAGTTGATCATTATTATGAAATATACTAGAAGAAAAATGCATGACTGAACAGATCTTATAATATATTTTGAGGTCTGGTGGTTGAGTGGCCCATTTCATACTCCCGTGCTATGGATCTCGGAATTCTACCCTTAGACTAGGCAAAGCAGACTAAGCCTTTTATTCCTTCTGTGGATCGATAAAATGAGTACCTAGCATGTTTGATAATTACAGATTGAAGGTTCTGCAAATTGTTAAATTTGAAATAACCTTGCATAAACTATCAGAACTTTTCTTATTCTTATTATTTTTCAGAATGTAATTTAAAGTATTGTTTCTAAATAAATACCTTCATATGTAAAATAAATATGATAAAAATGTAAAATAAATTGTGTATAACATATTAAAAACAATTTTTGAAAGCGCAAATTACTACAGAATTATTCATATCTATTTTACTGTTTATAATGCATTGATATTCTGCTGTCAACTAATGTCCAACTTTATTACTGACGTACAAGTCGATCTCCTGATTGTCGTAAAATTTTGGGGGTTTGTAAAGCTAACTTATACACCAGGCTAAGCTAACTTATACATAGAGATAAAAAATTTACTTATTTATGAAAGTTGCAGAGATTTAGACATATGAACTATTTATATTGAGGAATAGTATTAAGCCACATTTTCAATGTTTTTATGTTTCTTAAAATAATAATAAGGTGGCAAAATCTCTTAGTATCTAGTTTTCAGTGGGATAAAAACTAAATCTCATTTAGGTTATACCTTCTACCGATATAGATTATTATAAATCAAGAAATATTAATGATAAAAAAACGAGACACTATTCAATGGCCATTTTTTTTTTGGAGTGTTTTCAATACTTTTAGCTATGTCTCAAAACAAGACCTTCAAATAACATATTTGAGTAAACATAATTAGACAAATTATTTGTCAGTATTTATATACTGTGTGTATGTAGCCAAAAGTGAGTCAATAATTTGATAAAATGCGAAAGCCTCTTAATTGTTTGTTATCTTTTCAGGAAAAAAAGCCTAAGTCAATATACATAGCATGAGTCAACTATCAAAAGCTTTATATGTAGATATAGAATTTTCCCCAAAAAGATAACAGGTAATTAAAACAACTTAAATACATTTTCTTGCATTTACAAATTATTTTTGGCAGTATACCCATGATATGTATATATTTAACAAAAATTTACATTTAGAATTGTTATGGATGCAATCCTGATGTTCATGGAATTTTCTTAATAAATATTTTCAATAGAAAAATGATATTAAATGAATAAAGAATTTTAAAAAATGATAAAAATAAATAAACACATAATTTATTTACAGACTAATTACTCTCATCACTAACTGTAATGGTTGGGACACATTTATTTACAATCTTTTTCTTATGTGCTATAGAGACATCTTCTTCAGAATCACTTTCATTAATCAAATGAACTTCTTCCACACTATTAGAATTAGAGTTTTTGCTTTTTGACTTTTTTGTTGAAATTTCAAAATCATCAAAATGTAGTCCATCAGACAGTTCAGCTTCTTCAAGCGTACGTCGTTTTTTATTAGTTTTACCATCCCTATTGGCAGGTGAATCTTTTTTTGTGCTAGAAGGGACACCGTTGTGAAAATGAGATTTTACCTCATTCACAACACAAAGTTTTACCGGGTTCTTACTCGAAACAGATGAAGATGTGGATGCTTTTTTACTGGGAGATTGTGGAAGTTTGTCCTTGATTTTCTTACTTGACGATGTACTTTGTTGGCTTTTTACTGAGGATGAACTCTCTTTACTAATCTCTTTTGTTTTGGAAGCTGCATTGTCGTTAACAGAATTATCATTTTTAGTTCGTAAAACTGGCATTGGTAACAAAAGTTCTTTGTTGCTAGGCAACGTTCTAGATCCTATAATATAGATTAAATTAAATTAAAATCAAACAATAAAATAAAGAAGAATATGTAATGCTTTTCCATGCAGTCATTTTTAGCATTAATATTAAAATGCAAAAAAAAAGAAGACTTAATTGATTTGAACAATAAAGCAACATTTACTATACTTAGTAATTGTATAAAGATGAAGATTCAAAATTTATAAAACTATCAGAATGATTTCTCAAAAATAATTATTGAACAAATAAAAAAAGTTTACCATTTACAAATAAAGTAGAGTGAATTTGTATTAAAATTGCAAAATAATACATTGAACACAAATTGTTTGCAGAAAAAAAAAAATCAAGGAATTTTCTTAAAAATCCTTTATTTGATAAAGTTATTTCATTGATTAAATAATTTAAAAAATAAATAAATAAAATAATAATAACATTAGAACAAAAAAAAAATATTGTTTTTTATCAAAACGGCTATATTAAAAAAAACTTTTATTTTAGCAAAAAATAATATTAACTTTTTCACATCCAAGTGCATTATCAACATATTTTTTTAATAAGTTTTTTAGACCTTTAATAAATCATAAAATATAAATAAAAATAAATGGAATATATTGTCTATTATTTTATTTGTTACATAAGTGTATAATTTGAAAAAAAAATCATTACCAAAAATATTCTATTTCCTTTTGTATACATTACTGATATTAGTTTTAAATATTTTATTTTCATTTTTCGTACATCTTTTTAGGGGTTGCAAATGAATATTGAAGCAGGAAGATAAGCAAAAATGCTATTGAAATTTGACAAATCTCTACTGAGGAAGCAAAGCTTATAAAGGTCATAACCAAATCGATCGCCTGACAAAACTTGAAGATGCTTCCAATAGTTGCTTTTCACCATCTCATATTTTTATCACCACAATTAAAGAGATTTCGATGTTTTTCTAATCCTGTCATTTATCGTATCGTAACATGAATCGTGAATACCTAGAGAGATTTGAAACTCCATAACTTTTTTTGTGCCCTAGTGTACACTTGAGACTCTAATACAATATTATATTCAACATTGTTTAATAAATGTTTCTTACTCACCAGTGTTAATGTAACTTATAGTAGAATATGGAGTGAAGTGAAATTCTTCTATTAAATATGAATCTAAAAGCAAGAGGGCAACAATCCTTTCACAGCTTTCTCGACTAAGAGAGGTAGGCGTGTATCCAGGGGGGCGTGATTTGGGGGAGCCTTTACCTTGCCATATATCGATCAATTTTTGTGATGTTAAGCGCTCATCCAACCTATTACAATGTTCTAAGATGTCATAGATAACTTGACACTCTTTAGCAGCATTCTTCATTTTCTCTACATCTGAAATATGTATTGAGCAATAGAGTAAGTATTAAATAACATTCATCACATAGTTTCTATTTTAAAATAAATATATGTTAAAAAAAACATATAGTAAACTCCTGGTTATCTACTTTGCGAATGATCCATGCTTCACTTTTCTATTTTTTTTTGCAATGATAAACATAGCATTAAGAATTGAAAATAAATAAATTCATAAATATGAAACTATTTTAAGACTCTGAGAACAACATACTAGCAAAAAAATTCATGTACCTAGCCCAGGTGTTCACAATTAATTAAACAATTAGTCTACATTTAAACATTGCAGCTTAAAGTGCAATATTTAAGTAAAAAGGAGCAATGAAAAGGTGAAAATGGGGAGGCATTCATAATGAGCTAGATAACTTGAGTCATATTACAGCAGTTGAGCTACAAGTGCAGGGTGAAGTTCAAATTTCAATGAATAAATTCAGCACCCATCAAAGCAGCATCTTCTTCTCGATTCAATAGTTACTATTCAAAGCAATTATGTTGATAGCAAATAAAGAAACTTAGTTTCTTTCTGTCTTGCTACCGTATGATACATGGAAATGAATTATCATCAATCATTTGTTTAGTCAACATGTAACACACTCTTGGAACTCTTATCAGTAAGAAAATTTACTACTAACAAATGAGTATGGTCCCCACACAACCCCTGATACAGAGTGTTTTATGAAAATTTGATGAAACATTTTAAAGTAAATAGAAACACATAAGAAAACCTTGCAATGTGAAACCCATATATTCAGGACATAAAAAGTTTCTACAAAAATCCATCTTTAAAGTGGCACTATAACACTTTGCATGGAGTGCTTTTTAGAAAAATTGATTAAATTTTTAAAGTAACGAAAGACACTTTAGAAAACAATTTCACAAACTTGAGCAGTAAAAACAATATATTTAAGACATAAAAAGTTTCTGCTAGTATCAATCTTTAAAGTACACAATACACAATACTTTGCATCAGAGTAGTTATTTGTCTAAAAATGTCAATGTTGATCAGAGTTTTTTTCTTTCTTTTATAAAATCGGTCTTAAATCATAAGAAGGGAAACTTCAGAAATTAATTTCACAAACTTGCATCTCTAAACCTATATTTTAAAAGATAAATAATTTATATGCATATCCATTTCTTAAAGAAGGAATGTCATATTACTTTTAAGTAGTAACTCTTCCAGGCTTTTTAATCATAAATGGAGTTATTTTTATAAAAGTAAGTTAAAAGTTTAATATATGAAGGGTGTTGTAGAAATTACTTTCTTAATTTTGCCTCACATTACCCCATTTTCAAGAAATAAATAAATAATATCTATGAGTATCCCCCGTATACTTTGCATTTGAGTTTTGACAGTCCTTTTACATTTTGGAAAAAATTGTTTATTTATATCAACGAAAAGGTGTCTTAAATTTTGATAAAAAAAAGTTGATGTGAATGAATGCGGTACATTTAATTCAGATGTTTATAATAAACAGCAAATTTGCAGAAGCCTAAAAACAGGGATTCTAAAAGAACTTTAGGATTAATTATCATCAACCTTACATCTCATTACACATGCTCAGGCACTTAGCTCTTCATATATAAATATTTTTTTCATTTACTTTAGAAAAAGGAATAATTTAAGATTTGATTAGGAAAGTCATAATTCAGAAGCTAACAAAAAATAGTACACCTTTATCTTTAATACAAAAAATGAATTTATAATTATTAAATAGTTTGTCAAAATTAATAAATGTTTTAATTGGTAAATTAATTGAGCAGCAATTGCTTAAGTAGCTTCCATAAACTCTCCAAACTAAAGTTTTAAATCTCGGAAACTTGTTTCTTAAAAATGAATATTATGAATAAAAAGTAAGAAAAGATTTCAAAATTAGTAAAGAAAAATTAGAATAGCTAGATAAAGCTTTTTTTTTTATCTCAAAGTCTTTTTTTTTGAGATTTCATAATAAATTAAACAATATAGAACTAAAAGTATTAAAGTGTCACACATGAATTATATAATTAAAAATCGTCACATATGAATTATATAATTTAAAAGCGTCACATATGAAAATTTTCCTTACATGGGCTATGTCTATCACAATGATCGCACATTTCATTACAATCAGAAGAGTTCCAGCGTTCTCCAAAATGTTCAGCAATAATTGCTCGTCTACACCTATTATGAGGGGAAAAAAATCAGTAAAGTAACAAAATTTTACTACAAACAAAACTACAATTCAAAATAATACAAAACAAGCAAATATTTAGATTGCAACTTAAATTGTACAAAACTAATACAGGAAAACTACTACTCTAAATATAACAAAAAAATAAATAAATAAATAACCTGTAAGAAACTGTGTTTGATTATGATTTGACTGAATGGAGATCAAAAATTTCGCTCCAATTTTTTCCAAGCAGAGTCAAAAAACATTGTACGAATACAAACTTCAAATTATTCGGTAAGTTTAATTATTTCTCCAAAATTAATTTTTTTAACAATACAAAAGTTTATAAATTAATTTACTGATATTATTTTCCTCAAACTGACTAAACTAAAAACTTTATCAAAGAAATATGAGAAGTGAAGCAGCAGCCCCTCAAACAGTTCATGCTTACTTAAAAAAAAATAATTGCATTGAAGTTAGAGAAGAGTAAATGGACTGAATGAAATCAATTTTAATGAAATTAAAAAAAATAATTGTATTGAAGTTAGAGAAGAGTAAATGGACTGAATGAAATCAATTTTAATGAAATAAAAAAAAATAATTGCATTGAAGTTAGAGAAGAGTAAATGGACTGAATGAAATCAATTTTAATGAAATAAAAGAAATAGTTTCATTGAAGTTAGAGAAGAGTAAATGGACTGAATGAAATCAATTTTAATGAAATAAAAAAAATAATTGCATTGAAGTTAGAGAAGAGTAAATGGACTGAATGAAATCAATTTTAATGAAATAAAAAAAAAATAATTGCATTGAAGTTAGAGAAGAGTAAATGGACTGAATGAAATCAATTTTAATGAAATAAATTTTAACTAATGAATTGGTATCTATCTTTTATTTTATACCACCATTTTAAAGACTTTTTTGATCACAGAAGTATACAACTGACAATTTGAAGTCGAATAATTTAAGCAATCATTTGCATTTCAATGTAAAGATGTAAAAAGACATTTCTTGGAGGAAATATGCAGGCACAACATTGTGGTACAAATAATATTAAATGAAAAAGAACACTTCTTTAAAAAAAATAATATAAATATTACCTTTTTAAATCAAGGCAGTAAGAAACCATTGCATAAAGATGCTCTAGTCCTTTCTGTTCAGTAAAAATCATAGTACTTTGGCGAAATATGTCTGGAAATCGGAAAAAAAGAATGCATGTTGCTAGTTGATCATCTCTACCTAAAATTTACACAATTCACTGTCATATAAAATAAAATCATACACATACATTTATATGCATACTTACAGAGAAGATGCAAAACAGTGGTACCGTTTGAAAAAAAGTACCATATTTTTTATTAAGTTATACAGTATATCAGTGATTTTTGAAATTTAAAATTTTAGAGCAGTTGTGATTTAATAAAGTCTAAATATAAAAAATAACTGAAAACGTACATGTAAAACATGTTAAAGGTGTTTTCAAATTTGACACAAATTTCAAGCCTTTGTTTAAATATGATTTGTAAATAAAATTTTTGTGATGTATCTTATTTCAGAAAAATATGAAACAGCATAACTTTACATTGAAAACGGACATTTTTATTACCTTAATCCTCTTCTCAATTTATTAAAATACTGTCACTTATTCATGTTCAATATTACCAACAAGAAATGTTTGAAAACTAGATAATTAATAATTTTATCACATTTTAATTCAATTTTATATTATAATGAATTTATATAATATCAGAGATGCCAACTTGCTCAGGACAGCAAATATATATTTTTAAATGGTAGTTTATCAATTGTGATTCTAGGTTTAATAATTTAATTTAGTAGATTTTTATTCACCACTATTTCTAAATAATTTGCAGGCTTATATAATTTGCCACTCTTTAGTACTTATGTCATGCTATACCTTTTAAAAATCAAGCAAAAATAGTAAAATATTTGCAAAATTTATTTTTTTAGTTATTTACCATATATTTAATTATTTTGGCGTGTCCAAAGCAGTTGGCATCTCCGCAATATTGCACTAATTTTTTTCAGTAACAAATTTTGAAAATCAAGAAGAGACAGATGAAGAAAAAATTTATGAAAAATTGATATAGCAGTTTAAATGTTAAGTAATTCAAAAAATTATATAATATAACTAACTTAATCCTGTAGCACAGTGTTTCCCAAAGTGTGGTACGTGTACCCTCAGGGGTACGGGAACAGTTTAGTGGGGGTATGTGTTCGTATGCGAAATATCTTGCAACAAACGAAAATTTCAAAAAAATTTTATTTAAAAATAAAAGTTAGCCATGAAAATTAACGATGACGTATTTTTCTATTGGCTATTTTTTGCAGAGTTAACAGTTAACAAGTGGTGTCAACAGTTATGAGTTTTAACTTTTGTGCAATTTTTTTACAGTGAAAAATACATTCATTTTTTTATTATTGGTACACAGTGTTACGAAAAATTTAGAAAGGGTACACAAAAGTCATAAGATAGGGAAACACTGCTGTAGCATAAATAATTTTTTTATAAAATTATATATAGTTAGACAAACCAGCTCTTCCACTTTCTTGATAAAAATTTTCCATTGACTTTGGCATTGAGTAATGAATAACAAATCGGACATCAGGTTTATCAATGCCCATTCCAAAGGCAACTGTGGCAACAATAACTTGTACTGAATTGGTAGACCAGCTTTTGTGCACCGAACTTCGAGTTTTAGCATCCAACTGTGCATGGTAAGCTCGGGCTTTAATACCTCGATTCCTTAGTTCAGTAGCAATTTCCATTGAATCTTTGATTGAAAAGCAATATATAATTCCTATGAAAGCATAAAAGATAATTAAAATTGGCCAGTAAAAATTTTAAAATGTTATCAAATAAAAAAATTCAAGAAAATTTTTTTTTCTGTCAAAAAATTATTTTGAATATGAAAATACACTTTTTTTTTTAATATTAAGCAAACATTACTCAAGATCCGACAAACAATCTTTTGTTGTAATATTTATAAAAGAAATTTTTTTTTGCTCTAGCCTTGAATGAAATATTAAAGAAGACTGGCAAAATAATCTTTTCCTTTACACTTTGAATACCATCATTGTAAAAATAGTTTCATTAGTAGATGTGAGGAAAATACTATAAAAATTTATTGGCTATTCTTGAATGAAAAATGGTTATCTCTTTAAATAAATGAGCACACAAATCACAAATCTAATTATTGAAATTAATACCATAACTAAAAAATTGAAGAGAAAACAATCATTTGACATCTTTGTTTACAAACACAAACGGATACAGAGGACGTTTTTAAGAAAAACGCCAATGATTCGTCATCTCACAAGAAATAGGTTTAAACAAGTAGTCATTTTGGAAAACAAGTCACTAAAATAATCTAACAAAAGAAAGCTCATATTTTTTTAACAGCTCGTAAAATAATGCGCATTTGTTGAACTTTAAATTTTGCGTATTAAAGTAGTCTAACAAATTTCTTATAAGTTGAAACAAAGTTACTACGCCTTATTAATAAGAACAATTAATGGCCTCTACGTATCGTATAAAGTCTTTTAAAGGTTGATCAAAGTAATTGTTTCTCTTATTTTCTTTTACTTCTTTATTAAAAGGAAATTTTTATCAATAATATGTTTTTATGTCACTCCAGGTCATCTAAAACCTGCTAAACCTATACTAAAGTCAAACCTGTGTATTTTTTTCCACTACAGTGGATTCTCCCTATGCAACCTATGAAATAAGTTTGGAGGAGTAAATTCCATAATGACATGTCATAGAGTAAAATGCAGAGATTAAAATTCTTCCTTTGAATCTATTCTCAATTTACACATGGAAAACAATTATGTCAGCCCATTCAAGCTAAGAGGCACTATAAAATATTGAGCACTTAAAAAAAAAAAAAAATGGAGCACTGTATTTTTTAAAAAGGTAAATAAAAAATAAGCAATAAAGGGCTCAAACATTCGATTGTTGTTCTGACTCCACCATTGTAATTATATTTCCCTGATTGCTGTTAATCCCTTATACCTTGAGAGTCAGTTATGCTAGCTTTGGAAGATAAAATTATGAAATCAATTTATATCCAGGATAATGAAAAACAATTAAATTGTTAATGCTAAATGCATTAAAAAAGCACAAACACTCAAGTAGCCACTTCACTTTTTCAATGTAGATAAATAAACAAGCCTAAAATACTTAAAATAATCAAAGAAATTAAAGAATAACTGGAAATAAACAAATATGAATCTTTCAGCATTTACTATTGAAACATTAATTAAAATCATGATGGAACAATCTCCCCCCCCCCCCCNATTGTTGATTTGACGAATAATCCCCCCCCCAAAAAAAGGTTTTCCAGAAAATTAAACATATTACCTGAAAGACCATTAAAACGGTTTCTCAGAAGGTTTTCTAACTCAGTTACATTATCTTTCTGAACAGAAGATTTACAAACAACCTTAAAAAGGAAAAAAATTTTTTAGAACACATATATTGAAAATTAATGCATGACTAGCAATCGCTACCTATTTGATTTATTGAAGACTCTTCAATGCAATGGCATATAACTGAAGTTATTAATTCTAATAACTCAAAAATATTGATATTTTCATTAATAGTAACATTTTAGCATCAACATTTATAACTCTAAAAAAATAGAACAATAATAATATAGATATAATATAATAATAGATATAATAATCCTGCAATAATAATATAATAATAGATATAGCAATCCTACAATAATAATATAATAATAGATATAATTATGATCACCTCATATTTCAAATTAGGGCGATTAAATGATGCTTTCAACACTAAACAGCCTGGAATGTTCAAAATCTTTTGAACATCATTGATTACAGATGATGTAGCAGTTGCAGTTAGACCTAGAATGGGTACATTAGGGTACTGACGTTTCATGATACCAAGAAATTTGTAATCTGAAAAAATAAAATAAGAAATTTGATAGTCATACAGAAAAAAATTGCTAAATATTTTAATATCAATTTAAAATTTAGAAACATAAATTAGCTGGATCATATTAAGTAACAAATAACTCCAGTAAAAAAAGTTTTCCTTCAATGCTATGTTAGATTCATGAAAATTAATTCATATTGTTACTGTGAATGGTGTTTCTAATATAAATATAAACAACAACAATATCGAGCGCTTGACCTGCTCTACTTCCGGTTAGAAAGTATACAACTGCTTACTATAGCTTATTTTACGAGGTGAGATTTTCAAACAGATAATTTTGTTTTTAATAAAAGAAATAAATTACATAACTTCTAAACTCAAATATTCTGTATTTCATAAGATATTAATGATATTAAGTAATTCTGATGAGTTTGAAGTGAAAATTTGTTTTAGTTATTTAGAGATGTATTGTTAAAAAAAGTGACATGGTTGCTAGATTTAGAAAGAACTCGCTTTTTCGGCAGTTCTGATTTGGCCTCTTTTTATCTGTTTATTCTTGGTGCACGATGTTCACCATCACACATTTGCATACTGTTCAAGCAGCGAGATTAAGTTCATTAAACAAATTATAATTTAGGCTTAAATTTTGAAGTTGGTATATTGTTAAGGTAAGATGTGTTTCATAACGGTTCTTTTTAGTGTGCGTAGTTAGATTTTTCACCAAAAAATTAGCACCTTTTAGGTACTTTTTAAGCATTCAAAAATATTTTTAATCTTGTTCCAAAAAAATTAAAAAAAATCATAATTAAGATCTGTGCAACAATAAATTTTTTTTTCTATCGTTTAAAGTTCTTTTTTATAAACATAAAATAAATAAAATTGAAAAACATTTTCAAAAACTTTACATAATCATGATAAAATAACTAGTTTCTAATAAATATTGCAGAGAAAATCATAAAAATCAATGCATTTTTTGTAATTTAGAACAACAAACGACATAGCAAAGAAAAAACCTTTTTTTAAAAGATAAAAAACTGAGCACCTTTACATACCCCGGTTAAAAAAAAGCACCTTTAAGGGCTTTTAAAAAGTGTGAATCAAAAATAAGCACCTTTAAGCACTTTATAAAAATGCTATGCACCCTGTTTTTACAAATGACAATTCTAACGACTTGAAATGACAGGTCTTCAAATGACGATTCTTCTTAAACACACATAATTTGTAACACACAACTAAACACACACATTTGTACAAAAAATACAACTCAAGAGATTCTCAAAACACAATGATCATGCTGTGTGCAACTTCAAAACACATTAAAAGCAGTAACTTGGAACTATAGGGAGTCAAGAGCTTGCAGCACCCCTTAGTGCAGAAAACAAAATCCATTGTTACAAATATTGCCCGAAGAACTTACTTGAAATAATAACTTATTTTAAATTTTCTTATATTGATAGATCTTTTTATAAAATATTTAAAAGAACTTGCTCAAAGCTATTAGCAATTATGTTTCCATTTGTATCAATACAAAATTTGTATTAATTATAGAAATTGGAAAGATTTTAAAGCTTGGCCCTGAAATTATTAACAGATAGTTATTTTTAAAATATGTGAAATAAACTTCAATATTTTTTGCTGATTCATATAAATTATCACCCATTATCCAAAGAAAAAACTTTAAGAAATGCAAAGCGTTTTTTAAAAAAGAAATAATATTCAAAAAGGACCAAGCTTCAATTTTTTATTATTAACTTTAATAAACAGTAATTTAGTCTATTTACAAAAAGTACTAATTTAAAGAAATTGATTATGATCTTTTTTAAATGTACTGGAGTTCCATAAACTTTTTTACAGCAATGAGTTGAAAAGCTTCTTCACTTAGAATAAGTATAAAATTGTGTGTAAACTTTTTAAAAAAATTAACTTAAGAAATAAACCAACAAATTTAAAATGATCCGGTTATTAAAAAAACATCATTATTATTTCTAAAACAGCTTTAAAAAATCTCAAAGCTAGTTATATTTCTGGTTCCTTGTTTAATGTAGAGTAGGTACCCTAGAGCAGTGTTCCCCAACCCCCGGTCCGTGGATCAAATGGTTCCGGGTCGCCTGGTATCAAATGGTACCGGGCCGAAAATATCTGTGTTCCATTAAATTTTATTTATTTAAAAAAAAGGGGGGCCCCAGAAGGTAGTGACGTAATTTTTAAATGTTTGTAATGTATCATTGTCTCTGGTTACCCCCAGATGGAACCGTCTCATTGCAAAGAAACAAGCTCAGGGTTCTAATTGATTTAACCCTTTAATGGGCCCTTTATTTCTAGTAAAGGTAAATTAAAGTATTTTTGGAATTGAAATTGTTTTAAGAACAGTAACTGATATAAAAAAAAACTAATTTAGTTTATAAAAATGCCATTTTTTTGGTGGTAAATATATTTAACATGACCTATTAGGAACTTACTGACTTTTATTTTTCTTCATTTATAAAATAAATTCCTTACATGCTACAAACTTCAAAAGGAATTATGTATTTATAACTTTTATACGTTTTTTAAAAGTGCCAAATGGTTACCAATTTTATTCAAACTCACTTCAAGAAAGCTGAAGTTATTGAAAAATGGAAACCTAAATTAAAAGTGGTAAAACGTGGTGGTAAGTATACTTACCACGGCCATCAAAAGGGTTAAAGTTCTAATAAGTTAAAATGTTAAATCACTTTCTATTTATTTTTTGGTGAAACTGTATTTTATTTTGAAGGCATGTTCAAATACAATTAAATTAAAGTTAATAAATCAAAATAATCAAAAATATAAACAATCAATCCCCTCCCCTCCCGCAGAGGGCCACAGTGAAATTATCAAACGTTGACAGGTCCGCGGTGATAAAAAGGTTGGGGAACACTGCCCTAGAGTAGGTACCCTTTATCCAAAATGAACCTCAAATTACAATCAAACTTATTATGGTCTATGATTCAACCCGATCACAGGTATAACAAGGAAATTTTTACTTTTTAATAAACACCACTTATTTCCAATTGTTCAGGAAACTTTTACTTTTGATAAACACCACTTATTTCAAATAGTTCAGAAATTTTTATGTTTATATTGTTACCATTAATCAAACAATTTCAATAACCAATGGAAGATGTTGTTAAGCAAACTATTGAATACAGTCTACAACTATTGTTGCACATTTGTCAAAAAATATTTGTAAAACTAAGAATCTGACAGAAATAGGGAAGTAACAATGAATAAGATTTAAAACATGGAATTTATCTTGAAAATAGGATTAATAAATGTTTGCAATAATATATTTTGTTTTGTGTGGTATGTTAAACAACTGCCAAGGTACAACAAAATACTTTAAATATTTGTAAATGACAACAAATTAAAAAAGTCATTTTAAGCATTTTCAGGCTAATTACTGCAGAATATTGGTTTTATTTTTGATAATTTTGAATAAATTGGGTTCAACAAGTTAATCATCTAAGTTTCAAGAATTTAATAAATGAATTTGATTGTATTCCCTGTTTATGCTAATATTTGAGCTTGGATCATAAAATAAAATTTTTTTCTTAAAAATTTTCATAAAATAAAGCGAATCAACAAGTTAAAATAAAAGTTGCCTCACCTGTTCGAAAATCATGTCCCCACTGTGAGCAACAATGAACTTCATCAATAGCCAGCAAAGAAAAAAGTCCCATTTTGTACATCTTCTCAAGTTTTGACATGAAACGCTTGCTTTTGGCCAACTTTTCAGGTGTAACATATAATAACTTAATCGAGGGATTTTTTTCAGTCATTTGTTTATGAACATGATTTACATGCTCACGAGTACTATTTGCATTCAGAAGAACTGCTGGAACATTAATGGCTTCCATAGCCATAATTTGATCTTCCATCAGTGATACTAATGGCGAGACTACCAATGTAATACCTTAGGAGAAAGAAGAAAAAAAAAAGAAATTGTCATAAAAATTAAATAAATTGATCTTCGTATTAATTTTTTTCTATTTTAATGACGTCTAAAAGCAAAGTCAAAATTTATTATTTTAAAAAATAAATGTTCACAGAAGTAGAAAAATTAAACATTTTAAATAAATACAATAACTAAATGAAACAATACTTAAGGAACAGCTTTTTATCTGAGTAATAAATGGGAGACATTTTTATCTAACAAACCTAATAACATAATTAAATTTTAAAAAAATTAAGAGCAAAATTGGAAATGAAATTTCCAATGTTTTTTTCATCATATGAAAAATATAGGTACAGTCATAAAAAACATTAGATAAAAAAATCTTGAGTGTTTTTATGGAACCTTAATCACAAAATTAACCAATAAATTTAAAAGGAAAAAAAAAACAGTTTCTGTTTATGAATGAATTACCCCTTCATACCCTGAATTCAAAATATTTTTACACTTTCCGAAAAAAAAATTTTAAACATCTTTTGTTTCTTAAAAAAGAATTGATGAAAAGTAGTCACATTGCATATTAAAATGAACTTCAAGTAAGTTTTTTGGAACAAATTTCCTCACAACTTTTTTAGCAACCCATAGAATTAGAATGGTAATGGCATTTTGAATCATTGCCAACAAGGATGAAAAAAATTTCAAAGCTAATTTAAAGCTTTAAAACAATTGTATTTTAGAAACAAAACATTTTAGTTATAAAATCTTTTATAAAATAATAAAACAACTTAATAAAATAATAAAGCAATTAAAACTAAAAAGTAGTAAATAAGGCAAAGGTTTTCAAACCACACTTAAGATATATGAGATAATTCCATGCCTTCACAAAACTTTTCATAAAAAAGCTCAGCCTAATACCCTTAGCTTAGCCTAAAAGCATGGTCAACATACTTTTTAAAGATGAAAAGATGCTAAAAGCACATTCTTAAATTAGATTTTTATGCGCAACTGAAACTTTATTTTTTATACATTGAGGTAGTTTTGCAATTAAATGTATATTAAAACATCATATGTATGTTGATGTTATATGCAATATAATCAGGTGAATAAAAATTGAGGTTAATAATTACATTTGTAAGTGACACTATACTTAATTTTTATAACAAGCAGATGTTTATATACGTGATGTTATAAACTGTTTACATACTCCACAGTTGCATACCTGCCAGCATTCAGACTGACTAGAATTTGCCACTTTTGCATGCATACCAATATTTCTTCACAAAGTAATGCTTACAATATATGTCTATGTGAAATGATTTTAAGTGAAAAAGCAATTAGCATTACAAAAACATCTACACTGCCCACTTAAGTCTGTATCTAACTACGTTACTTTTGAATGGCTAGAACTATAATTATAAAAGTGATGTCTAAGAACAGTAAATTCTTCTTGTTTTATAAGAAGCAAACATGTGCCATCTGGTGTAAAACTGCAGAATCGATGATCTTTTCTCCTTAACAATAAGAGAGAGGCAAATCACAAGTTTTAGAGCACCTTTGGTATAGCATTTAGAAACACCTTATAAACAATGATGCAAAGAAATAATTCTTGTAATGTGTTTTTGTTTGTTTGCAATCTTCTAAATTGTGATAAAACAAACTTTAAAAAAAAATAAAGAATTATTACAAGATATCATTATTTTAGATGTTTCTAGAGCTGTACATAACATTAATTCAAAACATTATATTAATTCAAAATAAAATTACATTATGTTGTACATTAAAAATAAAAGCACCTTAAAATAAAAGCATGGTTTGTCTTAGCTAAGAACTCCTCCCGCCACAAAGTCTGAGGCCGTCTGGTGCTATGGAAACAAGAATGGCTCATTTTAGGGAGGGTAGCTTCACTCTAGGACTAACACAATAGACCGAAGAAAGATATTCCTTTTCTCTCATCGACCCGAGCTGAAACCAGTCCAAAACAGTAACCCCACACCCATACTTGAAATAGTCATACCTCGTTACCATAGTTACCGCCACAGGTCCAGATGAATGTCTGGAGGAGTTCTTATTTTAGACAAACTATAATAACTACCTGATTGTTTGTGAGTATGATCATGATCATTTTGAAAAACCACACAGTTAGAAATGAAAGACAAACATTCACGCACTTTAAACATGTTTTTGTTAGCTTAAATGTTGCTGTGTTGAAATGTTGCTGACGATCAATGACTCTATGATGCTCTAGAAATTTGAACTAAATTTTTTTGTTATCTTGTATTATTTTCAAAGTAGGGATGCTAACTTCGCATTTTTCTATCAGGTAGAACTGTAATGATGACTGAGTGGTAGTGTTTTGCGCTCCCGTGCCACAGGTCCTGGGTTCGATCCTCGAGCCGGGCAAGGTTGATTCAGCCTTTCATACCTTCAGTGGGTCGATAAATGCGTAGCAAGCATGCTTGGGAACTAAACACTGGGGGTTTCACATTCGACTGACCACCTAACCGGAACCTTTGCTCCTGCACCCCAGAGCTCAAGGTCAAGAAAACTGAGATGGGCACAGCAGGCCTTGGCCCTCTATGGGCTGCCGCACCACTGAGTTTAGAACTAGGAAGTGGCCTCATTTGTAGTAACTTTAATAAACCTAATCAATAGTTTTCTAGTCACTTTGGTAAACCTTGATACCACTTTAAAGATATAGCTGCAGGTGTTTGAAAGTTATGAGAGTAGATATAGATTAAAGTTACACCTATATATTACTAAAAATTAAAAGAAAAAACTTTGACACTAGAAGGTAGGAAAGAAACATTAAAAGTGATATAAATTACCTTCTAACACCAAAGCAGGTAACTGGTAGCACAAACTTTTCCCTCCTCCTGTTGGCATCAACAAAATACAATCCTGTTTGGACATAACTGCATTTATAGTAGATAATTGGAATGGTCGAAAACTGTTCAGTTTAAAAATAGACTTTAAGGTATTAACCACTTTCTGTGACCATGGGTGATCTACATTAAAAGTAATTGTAGAAAGAATGCTATTATAAATACTATTGCAGTTATCAAAATTCTGGAAAAAGAACACAGTTTTAGAGTTTAAAGAACACAGCTAAGAGGAATAAAATAAAGTAGAAAAATATTAATTCATATAAAAGCTACAATAGTCATCAATTTAAAATAATAATACATAAATTATATTACATATTAATTGTTTAGATTAAAATTAAATTTCAAATATAAGGTAAATATTATTTAAAGCGTAAGGTAAAAAAAATCAACAATTATAACAAAGAAATGCAGATTTGATGAATAATTATGATAAAACCAGTAATCAGATATCGTAAAATAGAAATGCCAAGAAACTAAAATCAATTAAAGAAGAATTTTTGAGTATTAATTGTAATAATATTAGACTGAAAAACTTTTTACACACTTTTTTTCTATGTATAAAAAATTTTTTTTTAGCAAAATTTAAAAATTTTACTTATGTTTTAGTGCTAATTTCAAGTGAAGTTAGAAAGACGAAATTACCTATATATTTAATACTTATATGTTATTCTATTAGTTTTTTTAAAATTTTTTGACTTCCTATTTTGCACCTTCAGTACTGCTTTATTGAGCATTTTATTTTGATCTTGACAATGAATTATACATTTTGATTTGTTAAAAAAAAAAAAAAAGTGCTCCTTAGTTTTTTTAAATTATAAACCAGGAGTTTTTTTAATTATTTTTGCAGGAATTGGAAAGATTATCTCAATTCTGACTGGCAAAAAGTAAATATCCTAAGTACCTTTACCCTTTATCTATTTAAAAAAATATGAAAAATTATTTATACCTGATCTTTCCCAATCTTGATTCGCTAGTTTCTCAGTTGCATTTTCTTGCAACTTTTGTTGCAAGGTATGTTTTCTTGACAGTAACTTTTGTCTCCTATTATTTAATTTTTCAATCGCTCTATCAATTTGATTTACATCAGTTATAATTTTCTTCAACTCAGCTTCAATATCTAAGAAAACAAACAAGTGTAATGTAACACAGTCAAAAAATGAAACAAAATAAACCAGCACTTTGTATATTATCTAAATACCTATGTCTTCCATTGTGTTCTAAATGTTCATAAGTAAAAAAATATTAACACCATTAAAAAAACGAGATAATATTTTTAAAAAAATGGTGCTACCAAACAGAGATAAGTCAACTTTTAGAAGTAAGGCTTTAAATGCATGTAGGAAACAATATTTGTTTAATCCTTAAGTTCAAAATTTAATTAAAATGACTGTCTTTTATTCAGGAATAAATATTTTTTTTAATATTTTCAATAGTTTTGAAAAGAGTTATTGAGGCGATAGAGTTTAAAATTCTAATTGTAAGCTTCAAAATTAAAAATTCTAGTTAAATATTTCAAAATTAATGATAAAAAGAAGCACAAAAGCTTCAAGTTTGTTTATTTACGTTACAACGTTTATGACTGCCTATTTCTTTCTTTTCAATATATGCTTATTTAACTTAACGACACAATTTTGAGGTTTCAGCTATCATCCCGATTAAAGCGCCTTTCTTACTAAATGTGATTCACAGATTTTCTATCGCCATCGAAACATTACATGCGAAACAACAATCCCGTATCAATGATAGTATACAGATCAGTGTCCCATATAATAGTATTAACAACAAGCTTCTTTGATGTTGTGCTTACAAAGCGATTGTAAACAGGTTCGATATTCTAAAAAGATTCATTATTTAGGGATTTGATTCATATCACCGACAATTACTTCACAGCATAGGCGATATTTGGAGGGGGCACAGGGGTTCTTCTATAATAAAGATATATTTTTGAAGAAATAAGATTTATTACATACCTACTATAATATATATATATACATAATAAAATTTTATTAAACGTAATTATCTGCCACTATTATGCATTTTTTCCAATCTGGTCTCCGTTTTCCAAATTTTTAAAAGCTGTTTGAGAAGGAAATAAAACATTCCAAAAAACGCAGGCCAAATTTAAATTAAGAAGTTAAAAAAAAAGAGATATTTCGTACGAAATGGATTTTATCGGTAATAACTATAGGAATGTTAAGAAAAATCTTTCAAAATTTATGTAATTATTTGTGTTTGATACGTATCAGAATATAAACTTTGGGCTTAAAGCATGAAGTTTGCTGCTATGAATCAAGACTATCTCTAAATTCAAAAATTTCGAGAGCCTCTAACGCCTCTGTTTTGGTTTAAAAACTTGAAATCAAGAGGGACGTTTGTTGAAAATTGTATTGCCGTAACTTCGTTCCTCGAGATGCGAAGCAGATTTTTCGCCCTCTCACTTTTATTTCAGAGGATAACAAGTTTTCTATTTAAAAAATAAAGATTAAATTTTTTTAATTGCCAATTTTTTTTAAACTTTATTTTCGCGCTCGTTGAAATTTCAGAAGGGGCGAAACACTTTGTTCGCTCCCTCATTACTATTTTGGAAGAAAATAAAGTTTTCTACCCGGAAAATAGAGTGAAAATTGGAAATAAAATATTTTTTCTACTTTTACTTTACTTTTCCAAACGTCAAAAAGCACATTATTCGCCCATTTAGTTTAATTTCAGAACAAAATAAAGTTTCCTACTTGGTGTAGAGCTTCAAAGTTGAGAAAGAATAGCTTTTTTTTCTTTCTATGATTATCAATTTTACTTGGCTTTGTCTTGGTGAATGACTAAATATAAGAAGGGGCAAAGCACATTATTCAACCCCCTCTTAAAATTTAGAGGAATATAAAGTTTTCTACCTGAAAAATAGCTTCAAAATAGAAAAAAGAATTTTTTTTTTTTTTTTAAATTACCGATTTTACTTGACTTTATTTTTGTGAGTGTCTAAATTTCAGGAGGGCTGAAGCACATATTGTTTGCCTAATCACTTAAATAATTTTAGAGAGGCCCTCTGCCCCCCCCCCCCNTTAATAAAGGCCCCCCCCATTGACACACCACCGGATCTGTCACTAGATAGTAGACGAAAAAACTAAGACAGAAGTACAATATGCAGTTGTGGCCCCCTCTCAGCAAAAAGAAGTTTTTGACTCTTTTGAGAAAGGGAAATAATTATCGGAAAAAGTCGTTTAACCGTTTTTTACCCTTCCCTGTATGGTAAAGTAGATATGGAATTACAAAAAGAATATTTTCAGCAATTCTATTTTCACACAATTTCTTTCATACATATATATTGAAAAAATGTGATGTGGTGCCTTCATTCGGGGCCCCGGGGCGGTACCCCACCGTAGTTGCGGCCCTGGTATAGGGATTACCATAGAATAAAAGAATTTATAATTAGTCTGAGATTTATAAACTGCTAAACGTGTATCAAAAAAGACCATACACGTAACTCTGCAGGTCGTGGTAAGACATTTGCAGAGCTACATTGTTGAAATTTGATATTTTAAAAGGATTATTTTTGATTATAACTTAGCTCGCAAGAGATAAAAACCGTTTCAAATTTGAACAGTTACATAATAGGGTCCAGAGGTTAGATAAAAATAAGGAAATACTTCTATACAAATCTATGTAAACAATATTCTTTTACCAGCAAATGTTTTGGAAGCTTTTAGAAATGATGTCCTTTTTACCTATGCCAAATTCGGAGTGATCAAAATGAGAAGATAAATAACTTCTTTATAGCCTTAATATCAACAATTTTGAAATCATTCTGTAGGATTGCGATATAACTATAAGAATATTTTGTTCGATGCAAATTTTGCACGGGTTAAAAAGGCATCATTTCTAAAAAACTTCATGCACAATTTGTAAAATTGTGCCAACAGATTTGCCACGAAAAACCTTCCAAAACATTTGCTAACGCATTTAAAGAAAGATTGTTTACTTAGAGTTACTACAGAAATACTTCCATTTATTCTCCACCTCTGTAGGTTCGTTACATTTAGTTAACAAGCAAATTCACGTCACATTTATTTCTTCTCATTGTGACACACGTTCTGTATCCCTAAGTATTTTTTTTCCAAGTACAATAGAATATTTTTTCAAATCCAAGTAATCGTTCATTTTGTTGCGATTAACATATTAACAAAATACTCTTATATGAAACTATAATTAATCTATAATAAGTAAAAAATTACCTTTTTTTAAAAAAAGTGTCGACTTTTACGAATTATAAAAAACAGAGATAAATAAAAGGTGAACACGTTGGTTGGTGAGCGGACCCTCTTAGTAAATTAGAGTGACACTAAAAAACTTTTGACAGTAATGTAAAATATTGATTGAGAAGTAATCATTACAACTGAAAAGAAATTATGTTGTTCATAAGCTAAACTAAAATGGCCACTAAGTATAATTCTAATGTAAAAAAATAAAATCTATTATATATAATTCTCTTACGTGGCTCCCAAATTTTGGCTGTATTTCTTTTCCGCCGGTGGCAACGTTTGCTTTGTTTTGAAAACACCAAAGCATTCTGCCTTTTAATGATGTGTTTCTGATCTAATATATATAATTCTCTTACGTGGCTCC